AAAAAAAAAAAAAACCAATTCCCAAACTCACAGATCCAATACACCCACAACCCTAATAAAAACCCCCCAAGTCCATCACAATGATAAGTAACACAAAAAATCCTAAATGTCCCTCATAACGCGCTCTATGAGAAATGAATCTCCGTAAACCCTAACACGAAGCCACATCAATCATTCAAACAAATCAAAGATTTAGAAAAAAAAAATAAAAAATCATTACTCCTTGAAGCTCGTTGAGCACGCTCTCGCCCGGGCCGCCGTTGTTGATGAACTCATCGCGGACCTTGTTGATGACGTCCTCGATCACGTGGATGTAGACATTGCTGGTCGCGGAGCTCGCCATTCCTCAGCAGAGCCTTCGGAAGATTATGAAGTGTGGGTACAGAAATTGAGGGACCTTAAACGGGTGGCGCGTGGATTTTTCAGTGAAAAAATGACCTCCAATTTGTCGATTGTGGGAGCAGACGGCGGAGAGAAATGGGAGAGAAGGGGCGGAGTAGAAATGGTGAGAATAAAAGTGTGGAATATAAATAGGTTTGCATCCGTTTATATTGCTTAGATTAGATCCACGTGGCGACGTGTGATAGATCTAATCTTTCCGCCGGATTTGATATATTATTTTAAATGGAGTCAAATATCGGTTTTGATCATAGTTTTTAAACCCGACCCGGTAATCGACCTGGGCAGGTTTTCGGGTCACCGGGTTACCGGTTCAACCGTCGGGTCACCGGGTCAATTGCTGAACCGAATAATTAATTTTAAAATTTATAAAATTATATATAGAGTATTTTGTGATATATAAATATAATAAAAATAACAAATTTAAATATTTCGTATGTAAAATTTGTAGATTAAAGTGGTAATAATATGTATATATTTATCATATAAATATATATACCTAATTTTATTTTTTAAAAAGAAAAAGAAAATCAGAAAACAAAAAAAAAAATAAAAAAAATACATATAGACCGGGTCAACCGGGTTGACCCAGCCGGGTCAATGCCCCGGGTCGACCGGGTCAAGGCCGGTTCGATCGGATTTTGACCGAGTCCGTTGTTGCCCGGTCCAATTAACCCACCCGGACCTGTTCCGGCTCTGGGTCGACCGGGTCCCGGGTCGACCCGCCGGGCCGATCCGGGTCACAAAACACTGGTTTTGATATAGTAATTAATATTAATATCCAATTTAATTGGTAATAAATCATTACTTATAGGGGCCGTTATGGATTTTGGTAATTGTGCTTGATTAATTCCCTATTCAGATGCATTGAGGAATTTACATCTCATGCTATGTATTTTACTAGTTGTTATTCGTGCATTTGCACAAAAAGCTATTTGATAAAAAAATAAAAAATATATATATAAACTACAGTAAAAACCATAATATAATCAACGGAAAATACCTTATCACTATCCAATATTGCTATTAACTAGTACCGGCGTTTTCGATAGCGAAGTGTAGCTCGCTATCGCGTAAAATTTCCCGTGAATGCAAAATTTATCAAAAAAATGCAACATAACATTTATAATTGTGTGGCCTGAAAAACCTACACTTATTACACAGACCCATTCAAATTCTCTCCAAAATCGAAAGGATCGGATAAAGTGACTTGGTTGAAAATTGGAGTGAACCTAGACGCACGCACCCTTTTTGTATGTATTCATGCTCGAATACTCTGCAGAACATCCATTTTGGAGTGTGTGGGAAGATGGCTCTTGCATGCGCTCCGCCATTGTTAAACCTCAAGCTGTCAAGCAAGTGCCCACCAACGGCCCATTACTGCTCTTCCATAAAGCTCGCTCCTTTTACTACGATCGCCGCTAGAAGAGGTGTTGACCTGCGCCCTAGAAAACCCCACATTGTGCCCGATGTTGGTAATAGTGTTGGAGTGCCTCGTTTAAGGTCTGCTGCCAAACGAAACTCGATCAAGGTAGTTTCAGGACAAGAGAGAATTGATTTTTTTTTTTTTTTTATGTGGCTTTTGGTTTTGATGGATTGATGAACAGTAAAAGCGTTGAGATTTGAAGTTTGTCTTTTTTTTTTTGGGTTTTTGTTTGGAAGGTGGGGGCTTCTTCTTCTTCTTCTTCTTCTTCTTCTTCTTCTTCAGGTGAAGCTGATTCGTCTGATTCTGACACAGTACTGCAAGAGGTTTTCTCTTGGTCTTCAGTTATCTTACCGTAAGGCTTTTGCTTCAATTGTTCACAGAACCAGCTTAATGTCTTTTTTTGTTTTTTAATTATTGCATTATTATGTAGAGCAGAATATCGAAACTGATACGAAGTCATTGAGTTATTCATGGTTAGATCAGAATATTGGAATTGTTAACAAATGCAATTCTGATAGAGAAGTTTGGTTTTATTTCTTATTAGCTTTTGAATTCGACTGTTATAGTTCATCTGCCTGGTCATTCTAGCTTATCAACTAAATTCTATCAACTAAGCTCCAGTCAATGGGAATCGCTTGCTTTATATACTTGTTGGATGTAGTTTAAATTACTTTGTTCGCAGTGACTAATATACATTGTCGTCAGATTTATATTTCCAGCATTGGGAGGCTTATTATTTGGCTATGACATTGGTGCGACCTCTGGAGCTACAATCTCGTTACAGGTTGAATTCCCATTTTGTGTTCTATAAACCTCGTTCAGAGTCATGACTCTTCCAATTTGTTCCTGCAGTCACCTGACCTTAGTGGCACGAATTGGTTCAACCTTTCGGCTGTTCAGCTTGGTTTAGTGGTAGGTTGAGAGGTTGAAATCTTGTTGCAATGCTAATATGCTACGATACCATTCTCACTTTCTCATCTTGCTCGATTGTTCTGTATTCAAGGTTAGCGGCTCTCTTTATGGAGCTCTTATTGGTTCTGCCATTGTTTACCCCTTGGCTGATTTCCTTGGTAATCTAGTTATAAAACCCCACTCTCCTAAATTTTTATATTCCTTTCAAAACAATGAAATTTTCATTACAACGAACGATTTGAAGTGTCTTTGCTGATATACATGTAGGACGGAGGAGAGAGCTCGTCATAGCCTCCATCCTCTATTTGATTGGTGGTTTGTTAACTGCCTATGCTCCTGGCCTTGGAGTTCTCTTGGTAGCCCGAGTTCTTTACGGTCTTGGCATTGGCATTGTAATCTTTCTAACTTTCTTCTTTCTGAATTCAAGTTGTGTTAGCCTAATCTAGTAAATACATAATCCTCGATTTAATCAAATTAGTTTGGCAGGCAATGCATGGGGCACCTCTCTACATAGCAGAGACCTGTCCATCTCAAATCAGGGGAACTCTAATATCCTTGAAGGAGCTTTTCATTGTGATGGGTATATTGGTAAACAATTTTTCTTTACACCAGCTCTCTTTTATTATTTTCCCTTTCCTTTTTCTGACCATGTAAGCTTATATTTATTTTTTACTGTGCAGTTGGGTTATTTTGTCGGAAGTTTCGAAATCAATGCTGTTGGAGGGTGGCGTTTTATGTATGGATTTAGTGCCCCAATTGCATTACTTATGGGGTTGGGTATGTGGCGTCTCCCGCCATCTCCAAGATGGTTACTCCTTAGAGCTGTTCAGGGCAAAGGTTCTTTACAAGAATTTAAGGAGAAGGCAACTTTTGCCTTGAGAAGACTTAGAGGGGAGTTAAGTGATGACAAAGTGTTTGAAACTCAAATCGAAGATACTCTCCTTTCCTTGAAAACTGCATATTCTGATCAGGATTCGGAGGGAAATTTTCTCGAGGTTTTTCAGGGGCCGAGTCTAAAAGCATTTATAATTGGTGGAGGATTGGTCTTTTTTCAGCAGGTTTTGTTATCTATTTGAGTTAAGTAACTTCAGTCGGTGTTTATCATTTCAGTTCCGAACGGAAAGTAACGTGTAAGGCTCTATGGATGTATCAGGTTACGGGACAACCGAGCGTTTTGTATTATGCAGGCCCAATTCTGCAGGTACTTCTCCATCTAAAGGTCAATTCTTCATATACGTCTTCAATTCAATGTCTCTCTCTCTCTCTCTCTCTCTCTCTCTCTCTCTCTCTCTCTCTCTCTCCCTCTCTCTGTGACTGTTTTGGTACATTTCTTGGTCTCATCATTTTCCAGTCTGCTGGATTTGCTGCAGCTGCAGATGCTACAAAACTTTCAGTTGTTGTTGGAGTATTTAAGGTACTTCCAAACGATGTGTTTTTCATACAAAATGTTTGTCCTGTTTCTTAATCTTCTTTTTTACAAGAAATTAACTTTGTTGTTATTTGATCCCGTTTGTTCTCACAGTTGCTCATGACGGGAATAGCCGTCTTGAAAGTTGACGAGCTCGGGAGAAGACCCTTGCTAATCGGCGGTGTTGGTGGGCTGGTACAACATTTTTAAATCTTTCACCTTCTTTGCTCTGTGTGAATTCCATCACTGAACATTATGTTCCTATGTCATTTGATCACAGGCTTTCTCTTTGCTTCTGCTTTCGGCCTACTACAAATTTTTGGGAAGCTATCCATTAGTTGCTGTAGCAGCTCTGCTTCTCTACGTCGGTTGTTATCAGGTGATCGTGAAAAAAGTTCAAAAACTCGAATTCTATCTACTTGCTCTTTTCCCATATTTTCCTAACTTAACCGATATTGTGCTTGTTTTGTTAACTTTTTAGATATCATTCGGACCTATCAGTTGGCTGATGGTCTCAGAGATATTCCCGATTCGCACGAGAGGAAAGGGTATTAGTCTTGCAGTACTCACAAATTTCGGCTCGAATGCTATTGTAACCTTCGCTTTCTCACCTCTGAAGGTGCCGATAGAATCCTATCCTTACCTTTTTCCTTTTGCCTTTTGCCTTTTGCCTTTTGTCTTTTGCCTTTTGCCTTTTGCCTTTTGCACTCAAATTACAAAAAAACACGTTTGATCGATCTATGCAGGAGTTGCTTGGAGCGGAAAATCTTTTTCTTCTATTTGGGGCCATTGCTATAATTTCACTGGTATTTGTGGTAGTCTATGTGCCTGAGACCAAAGGCTTGAGCTTGGAAGATATTGAATCCAAAATATTGAAGTGAAAGCTTTGTACAGCTAAGTAAATCTGTTGATACCCAGTGGACTTTATTTTGATTTTTTCGTATAAGAAAAATCATCCTGGAAATGTTTTTGGAATTTTTTAAGATGCTTATTTATTACATTATTAATTTCAAAGAAGACAGAAGAAAGAACAAAAAACTAAAAACAAAATGTAAATAAAACTAAATACTGCAAACTGCTGGTTACATAGATAAACATCTGCCAGAATGCAGGAGGGTCTAACAAAGAACAAAAAATAAACAAAATGTGAGGAAACTACAAGGTATATCTTCTAGTATCTGTATAAGGCTCCAAAAGTCGATGAGAACCGATTATGTTATCGTGTATTCTGCAAGTCTTCAGTTGGTTTGCAGTATCTTCCCATGATTTTCTTCTTCAGCAAAAACTGTCACAGAATTCCTCATCAGAGTTCAACTCAACGAAACAACAAAACATTGTCCGAACCATAAGCACTTCCCGAGAACACTATTTTCAAAAAAAAAAAAAAGAAAAAAAAATTGATGACGTGCATTGATAACTGTAACAATTTAGGAGTTTTAGTATACCTGGACGTGCATTAGACGAAACTGGGAGACGAGGAGCTGAGCTGGCAGCACCAGAGTGGTAAAGTCTTGAAGAATGAGAATTGGCCGAGTGGGTCAGGTTTGCTGGCCTCGCTGCCGAGTTGGACAGCTCCTCGTCCCAGAAAAACGAACTGACGGCCTCTTTCACTTTTTCCACCACTCCCGTGTTGTTAGTAACTTTCTTCGGGCTAATGGCATCCGTAATAGCCCGCGACAGGGCCCGATCATCCTCCCCGGGCTCCAGCTTGTTCATGAAGTATTCTTTCACCGAGACCCCTTTGTCCCACTTCTGAGGGCTCAGATTTCCTGTTTTGTCCCGGTTACCAATTCTTCCCGTCTCACCATTTTCCGTCTCTTGTGAGACGGAAAGCCCGGAAATCATGGAAGTTATTGTGTGGATAGTTTCGGTCACGGGTAGTACTTCGGGTGGTTTGGTCCTTATCGGGAACCGATGGCTCTCGGAGACCACGGGCACAGCCCTCGGGTGCTGTCGAGCATTCTCTCTTAAGCTCTCAGGTGCGGCTTCCGACTCGTACACTGTGATGTGACCCATTTTTTTTTTTTTCGTCGAGTTTAGAAATACCATACATACGCTTAGAGGCAAAATTGCATTTTTTGTACCGTTGATTTAACGTCATACCAATTTTAATCCCAAGGTCCAGCATTTTGCCTTTTCATCTGTGATTAATATTTTGCTGCAATTTTGGTCTGAAATTGCAACAAATACCCAAATTCCCAAATTTTCGATTAGCAATTTAAGTCCTGGAATTTAAAATTTTGATGCAACTCCAGTCTTGTAATTTAAATTTTCTTGAAATTTTAGTTCTCAAAGGACTAAAATTGCAAAAAAATATTAAATCACGAGACTAAAAGCGAAAAGTTGGAACCTTCAGATTAAAATTGGTTGTGGTGTTAAACCAACAGGACTAAAAATGCATTTTTGCAGATTATTAGATCAAAACTAGAAATTCGAAAGAGCATGTGTGTGTGTAAATTACTTGGAGCTCCGAGGTATTCGGGATCCTCCACGGGCCTGTCATCATTGTGGTCATCTAAGTCGAGCCCATAGAGTGGGGTTGTATTGTCATCAATAAGCTCGTTTTCGTTGATGTTCTTTCGGCCGCTAAGAGAGTGCCTCAACTTCTTGGCTCTCTCCTTTACTTTGGCAATAACCGATTTTCGGTTTTGTGGAGGGCTCGTACTTTCTTCTTGATGCCCGTGGTTCATTACCGACCTAGGAGATGTGGTTGGCGACCAGTATGCCTCGTCGACTGAGAGAGATGGAAGAGATTGTGTGTGAGAGAAAGAGAGAGTGAGTATGATTAAGTACTATATCAGACGTATAATTATGCTACCAAACACCCATCTTTTTCAGTATGCAAATATGCATCAGAAAGGAAGCAGATAATTTTATAGAAAACTCGCATCATGATTCATGAACTAAGCACCCGATCGCTCGTTGCATAATTCGAATTTTGACCTTTATGTTAACTGCAATAAGTTGCTGTCAATTACTATCAAATCTTTCGAGATTTCATTCACATCAACCTAGTGGGAGTCCCTATTTGCCATGCACTAAATGTTGTTTAATATGACAAAGTATGTAAAAGTTTCAAATTAATGTAATGAACATTGAACAGAATGCAAATATAATTCCATTTCTATTGTGCAATTCGGCATTCAAATCTATGTTATCGTATCTAGACCTATATAATATTCCATTTTCATTCAATCGTCCAAATATGCTGTCAATTTCCACACACAAGTGTATAAATTCTAAAAAAAGACAGAATTTCTAAAACACAACACTATCAGTTCAGGGCACAGAAGAATTTTACCTATTAGGAGCTGCTCGAAAGTTGGTGAAGTTTGAGCTGTAGGCGTTTTCTGGGTGTCGGTGGATCTTCTTGTCCTTTCAAGTTGCGCCATTGCAGTAAAATTCACTTGATAACTGCATAAATGTTGCTGTTGTGGATGGAAAAGATGCATATAAAGGACCTGCAGCGTTATTTGGGGCTTGGATATCGGCTTTCATTGGTGGACTATATTCTGAAAACCACTTTTAGCTTTAACCAAAAGTTGAAAATAAATGCACGACTCGCCACAAATAGCATTGTTTGTGACGGTAAAGAAAATGGTTGGTCGTTGAAATTGTTTGATTCCCCTTTTCTTTAGCCTAACCAGAAAAATAAAAAAGAATACAAGTTTAATATCTATAAATAGTACGGTATTCACTAAAATAGAGATAAAAGATTCAGCTACCTACATGATAGACTGATACCCTGGCATGTGTAAAGGAATCAGACTCACTTCCATTTATATTGGACAACCTGAGATTTTCAGTTTCATTTGGCGTTTCATATGACGTAAGACTAAACACAATAGAGAATCCTAAAAATGCTTGCATAAAGACAAAGTATATATACACCATTTTATCTTGAACCCACAATCACTTCAACCGTTAAAGATTTTGAGTGACATTTTGAGATTTGAGACTTTAAGATTTTCATATTTTGGAGGAATCCTATGAAATGTTATGCGGAAATGAGATTTGGAATGAGATTTCGTATATGGTTTTTTTCTTTTGAAATACCAGCAAACCTTAAAAATTCTTAACAAATTATAGTCTCAAATAAGTTAAATACCTCAAGATTTTGTAAGACTTTAAAATCTCAAATCAATATCTTAAAAGTCTTAAAAAGTCAAACTAATTAAGTCTTAAAAACTCTTCAGAAATCCTACACAAATGAATTTTGTATGACTTACTGCGATTTCACCTAAAAAAAGATATACAAAATCTCACGCCAAATCCCACCTCCAGATATAAGATTTCCAAGGATTCCTCTTAAATTTAAAAATCTTAAAAAGTGTCTCAGATTTAAAAGTCTTAAAATGTCACTCAAAATCCTAAACCATACGAGTCACAGGAAACGAAGCCATAATAATGTTTCATTAACTGAACACAAATGCCAATGAACAGAGCTATATCTCAGCAATCACAACATCACAACCATCTTCATTTTATGCAACTACAAATATAATGAGCCTCTGTTAGAATACTCTGCAAGCTCAAACCTTGCACAGGCTAGCTATATGTAATAATTGACTCTCACAAGAGAGAGACAAGCTTGTAACTATTTTGTCTAAGTTAAGTTCATAATTACTTGCCCAGGAATCTATATCCTGTTGTCAGAATATCGTTCATACTGCTCGGTAAGCTTATTCCCCATGATTTCACTCCTTATTTTGGGGGGTGTGGGTAAGTGTCTGATCTTAATTTTCTGGTAGACAAAATAAAAAAATAGCAACCTTTATACAGACTAAGACCATTATCACTGATCAAAAAAAAAAAAAATATCACTTTCTTGCTGTTCCGAACATAAGCTAACATAATTTTCTAAGCCAAATATAAATAATGAACAACATATCTTACCTGTTGGAGATTAGAACACCCCCAGGGAGCGACTTCATCAAACTCCAGGGCTAACAATTTTTCCATAATAGTCTGGAAGTTTTCCTGTTTGATCATTTCCGATGAACTCCTGCGGACAAAGTTAATTCGAATGAAAAGGTTTACATTTCCTTGGCTACAATAAGAACATCTTAATACCACAAAACGAAATTCATTTCGAATACAGGTAATATTGTTCCATGCATGTAACAAAGCTTTTACGGAAACAACCTCCTTGTATAATTACAAGGGTAAGGTCTGCGTACAACTGACCCCCAGACCACAACCAGTTGGGAATATACTGGGTATGTTGTTGTTGTTGTAGGAAAGCAAGGGTTCACTAAATACCATAACACTAAAATTAACTCGAACAAACTTTCAGTATGATGCCTCAAGTACGGCATAACATCATCATGGTATCCACCTACATGCTAAATGTAGAAAAGTTTCTAAACACGTCCTCCATACTAACCACGGGCTAAATTAAATGTTCATAACTTCACATCAAGATTCGTCGGCTAAGAACAGTTGACCTCTGAAAATAAAACCCAAAGTTCATTTCTATCTACATGAGAAAAAAATTGTTCTACTCGCACAGGGGGCTCTATAAAAAATTTTCCCTCATTAAACATAATATCAAAAAACTCAAAACGTGTCACAACAAAATGTTCAAACCTCATCGCTAAAGATGTCCAGGAAGCAAAAAGTATGACAAAAAGAAAATTCTCAGCAGGAAAATTCTCTTTACCAAATCAAAAGCCGAGTGATCAGCTCGCAACCTATCTAAAAACCGAACCAAGATCCCGATTCTTATTTTCCAAATCACAACCGGCTAAAGCCATGATTTTTCCTCACCCCTTTATCACACATCATCCTACGCACTTGGGCCGCATCACTCCAACTACCCCCAGTTGCCAACACATTTGCAAGCGAAACGTAAACAGCCGGATCATCAGGACACAGCTCCACAATCTTCCTCGCGCACCTTACAGCAATATCCTTATTACCGTGAACCTGGCATGCGCCTAACAAAACTTTATACACAGACGGACCTTTTTCAATAGGCATGCTATTAATAAAAGCTTCACCCTCATGCAGAAACCCGGCTCGACCATACAGGTCCACAAGACATGCATAGTGGTCCAAACGGGCTGGAGGGAGAGACCCATCTTTTTCCATCATATTAAAATACGCGAGCCCTTTTTCCAGAAGTCCAGCGTGGCTGCAGCCCGTGAGAGCTGCAAGGTAAGTGGTCGAGTTCGGAGCAACTAGGCTCCTCCTCATTTCTTCAAAAAACTGCACGACTTCACGACCGTACCCATGTTGAGCGCAGCCCGTGAGCAGCGAGTTCCACGAGACAAGATCGGGCCGAGCAATCGAGGCAAACACATTCTTGGCGGGACAAATCTCGCCACACTTCGCATACNNGGGACCAATCTCGCCACACTTGGCATACATAGAGACGAGCCCATTCTGAACGTAAAGGTTCGTGATGAACCGGGTCTTGGAGATAAGGGCGTGCACCTGTCTCCCTTCCTGAAGGGCCGACCCATTCGCAAGCGCTTTCAGCACGCTCGAGAAAGTGAAGAAGTCGACAGCCACACCCAACCTCCTCATCTTGGAAAAACACGTGAGCGCCACCTCAGGAGCCGGCAGGTTGGCAAATCCAGCGATAGCAGCATTCCACGCGACCTGATCCCATATCATGACAGCCGAGCAAATTCTATAAAGCTCGGTCAGGCTGCAACCGCAATACGAGTAAACGACCAGTAACGTGGTCAACACATAAGGGTTGAACTCCAGACCCTCGCGAATCACACGGGAATGAATCTGCCTGCAGTGAGTTAAATCATCTTTACAGTTAAATGAGCTCAATAAACTGCTGTACGTGACAAAGTTTGCCTTGACACCCGAACTGAACATTTCCCGGATCAAACCCATTGCTTCATATGAACGCCCATTGAGAGCGTACCCAGATATAATCGAAGTCCAAGCAACCACATTTTTATCGACTAATTTACCGAATACTTCTTCCGCACCTTCTATGTCCCCACACTTTGCCCGCATGTCGATCAAGCTTCTTCCCACCACCGTATTCGACTCAAGGCCCGATTTCAAGCTCAGCCCGTGTATTTGATCCCCAAGCACGAGGTCATCCAGCTGCGCACAGGCCACAAACACGGCCGAAAGCCCGAAGGGCGTCACCGTTATATCCTCTTTCAGCATCTCAACAAACAGGGCAAAAGCAGCAGACGAATCATGGGCCCTCACGTAACCGGAAATCAAAGCATTCCAGGTGACCGCGTTCCGGTTGGGCATTTCGGTGAACAGCTGGTGGGCCCGCGGGGTCTCGGCGCACTTGGCGTACAAGTCGAGCAGGGAGGTGGCGACGTGCACGTTGGTGACGAAACCCCTTCTGACGGCGTGGCCGTGGAGTTGGACTCCGGTCGAGAGGCGGCCGTCCTCCGCGCACCAAGATATGATTTTGTTGAGAGAGTACGGGTTCTGTAGGGAATCGGGTCGGATTGATGCGGCATTCGGGTCTGTAATCGGGTCGGGTGTGCTGTTGGTAGTGTGAGGAAGATGGTTGTGTTCTGGTGCGAGGTTCAGAGCGCGGGAAAGGAGGTTTGCGGATGGATTTACAGCGCGGTATCCTGCGGGGAGAGCACTGGGTCGCGGCATCATCGTCTCAGCATTTTCAAAATTGTTTGTAATCTATATCTATATAATGGACGAAACCATTTTGCCAAAAATGAATGAAGTTTTCCCGCTCAAATTTTTTCGGCTAAAATTGGGAATCTTAATTGTAGATAAAGATTGTAAATGATTTATTGAGAATACTTAATGTTCATATGGGAAGTAAAGATATTTTACATTTTTTCATGATAAATTTAGGAAAATTTTGATTAATTAAACAAAGATTATATGAAATCATAGTTTGGCATAATAAAGTTAAAACCAATCAACAAACTGTATGTTAGATTCACGAGTGATATTGGGATTCTATTCTAATATATTACACAAGAAAATCTTTCATAAAATGAATTATATTGCGTAGATGTTTTATTTCCAAGTATATGGTTTGAGTATATGGTATAAAATGATATAGGGGAATCTAGATCTCATCTCATCTTTATAGCTCATGTCAGAAAACGATCTACAACAAGTTTCAATAATATTTTGAGATTATCAAAGATTTTATGGCCATCTTTACTTAAATTATAATTTACTTATTAATTAATATACATATTACCATCTTTACTGTGATGTTATTATATAAATCTTGAATAAGATTTATACTATGATGGCAGAAAAATATATTTCATACGTACTCAATGAATAAAGCTTCAAAAAAATGCCTACCCTTTTTGTGACGATCAAAAAATTGTCGGACGCATTGCTACAGCGGGCGCTTAAACTTCGTCTAATTAGGATGTATGAAAGAGTAATTGTCGGACGCATTGCTACAGCGGGCGCTTAAACTTCGTCTAATTAGGATGTACGAAAGAGTTACAACCCATGGAGGAAATGTGATTCACTTTATTGAGTGCATCTTTCATGATTCAAAGGTGCGTTTATTGCTCAATATTATTAGTCATTTAGTCTAGCTATCTGAAGTGTTATTGATATTTATTGTCCAATTTTATTATTCTAGCTATCTAAGGTGTTGTTGATATTAAAGACCGCAAAATGTAATTTTTTTTTCGTTGTTTGTGGTGTGTGGTACCGAAAATTTCATATACACGCCCCTCATATCTGCTATTGATATTAAATTTGCCAATATGAACAATTTTCCTTTTTTTTTTTGTTTTATTTGATATGTTGATAGTGTGTCGTACAAAAAATTTATTTGATATTATTGAGTTCATCTTTCATACACGCACCTTAGTTTCAATAAAATTGTCATTTAAATATTGCTATTTTTTATGGTACATAAAGTTTCACAAAATTGCTGTTTAAATATTGCTATTGTTATCAAATGAAAGATTGTCATTTAAATATTGCTATTGTTCATATAGAAGAATCTATACGAAAGATTGTTCATGGTACACAAAGTTTCACAAAATTGCTATTTTTTATTTGATATGTTACATATGAAATTTAAATACTTTTGGATAACCCTCTGTATCTTGCTTATGTGTTCGTAGGGAGATCGGATTCAAGGAACTATAAAACAAAAGGATAGAGATATCAAGAAGAATCTCTTGGAAGGAAAAATTTATGCTATAAAAAATTACCATTTGGAAGAGTGGCAAGAGGGCGACTATAAAACAATAACTACTAAGTATCATTTTTGCTTCAACGGACGCACTTTGTGCATTGAAATTGACGATGTGAAATTTTCTGATCACACTTATTGTTTTACACCCTTTTCAGTTGTCTTTTTTGAACTATATGTGATATGTTATCTCTTTTTTATCTGCAATTACCTTTCAAATTCACGTGGCATCAATTACAACTTGTGATTTCCTAACTGATGTCTGATAAGTATAAAAAAAAGTCAATAACTATTAGTAACACACACGTCGGTTTATTATGTTCCAATAAATGAAAAACTCTATTTTGTACTATATGCAGTGCTCTTGGTACAAAAATATTAGTTTGTGAATACCACTTTCAACGGTCATACTATCAATCTATTTATAATGGATTTTTTATTAACTAACTTACTAAAATAATTTTTATTGAACCATATTCTCCCGTGCATCGCACGGGTTTAACACTAGTAAAAATAATAATAATAATAATTAATTAGACTACTACTTAAAAAATTAATTAATCGACTAGTGTTGTACGACAAACTAGTGTGTGACCCGCGCGATGCACGGGAAACAATATTACAATTGTACTATAAATTAAATATATAAATATTATTAATCATGACTACCCATTGTTTTTAAATTAAACCTCGTTAGACACACTCCAACCATATGGACCGAGAACCAGTTTATAATCAGTCTACTTCGCTTGAATAAAATATTTACTATTGAATCTGTCAACACCAGTCGGTTGGACTGGTAGAACATATACGATTTTTTAAATAAATTTTGTTACATTTAAAATTATTTTAAATAAAATTACATATTTTAATAAAATAGAGATTCATAAATTGTTTATATATTTAAGTAACACATTTTATTTAAATTTATTACAAAAAGATTATATATATATTAAAATGTTTATAAATTGAAAGTTGAACAAACCACAAATGATTTAATAAAATAACTTGACCGTTTTCGATGATGGTCCAGTTCTGAAGACCTTATATTTACTGTACATTGATGAAAATTATAATAAAATATTATTTTATTCACAAAAATATTAATAAAATGATATATAAATATTCATAAATCATTGAACATGTTGTCATAAAAGTATTGCTAATATGATTATTTGAAATTTAGACCACCACATTTACGTAATAAAATACTTTCAATATTAAAATTTATATTTAGGTTCAATAATCGATTTGATATGGTCAAACTGATACGTAACTTAGTTATCTGGGACCAACTAAGTAGTGTCAAGGTTTTTGTAACTATTTTAAATATCACCTAAAAGTAATTCAATCAACATGAACAGTACCCTAATTCAATCAGATCCAAAAAAAATTCATTATTTTCTTTCAATATATCCAATTTTATGAATATTTGTGATTCATATATTACATGTATACACCAAATGATTGTATATTAAGATTATCAATAGATATCTAAAGATGAATTAATTATTTTTACTTTATTCATTTTAATAAATTATAAACATAGTAATTTTTTTTAAAAATTAAGATTTATTGGTTGATTATGCAATTTAAGAATATTTTTAGCGTTCAATATTTTTCAAAGGCATAAATATAAAGACCAGATTCTAAATCTTTTGCTTCATCCTCACCTTCCTCCGGCTTATCACCGGCAGTCTGTTCAGGCTTCCAAATTGGTGTAAAAGGGTTATTCAATGCAGGATTTTAGATCCGATCTGCTCCGAACCACCGCTGCCCACTGCTTCTAAGGAAACATGTTCTTGCCCAGTTGAGCTCTGATTGCGTCATTGTCTAAAGCGCATTTTTGTATTCTGAATTGAGATTTTATAAATATAGAGATCGAGATTTTAATGTTGTTCGTTGTTTATAAGAAAAAAATAAAAATGAAAACATACACATGATAGATCTTAGCCGAATTTTTTAAATAATAAAATGAATTAAAACTCGAAATTTAAGACAACATTTAATATTGTATGATTTTTTAAAGAAAAAATTAAAAAATATAATAAAACTTACTCTTTATGGGCTGCATGAAATTTTGAGATACTTTTTTGCTATTATTATTGGTAAATGGTTATTATTATTATATATATTTGTGTTTTTTGTTTGGATTATGTGTTGATTCGTTGTGCCTATGTTTTTTTTATAATTTATCTATTGATGTCTGTTAATTTATTGTTCCGCTATATCATATGAATTTCGATGACTGAGCTGTGATAGTCTGGTTGATATAACCTTTGGGAAGGACCTTGATTAATCGCTATAAATCTGATTTGCCTAAAAAAATTGATCATATCCATCCATGCGTTTTTTGCCTTGATATGATCGAATATATTGATAAATAGCGAATATAATATTCCATAATAGAAAAAAAAATATTCGACAGTAGTATGCTAATATCATTTTAGATATGGTGTATGCTAAAAAAAATATCTCGTATGATGATGCTGTTATTATTATTTTTTTATGTAAGTTATTTTATAAGGTATCTTGTATGCTAAAGATTTGGGATATTGACAAATACATATTTGAGATATTGACAAAACTTTTCAAAATATTCAAAAAATTCAAACGATTTAAGAGGCGGCAAATTTCAAAAAATTTAAAATAAGTTTCTATGTTTAGTAATATGTTTAGGCGGGAATTAATTTGATTTCTTAATTACTATTTTAGAATTATTTAGGTTGCCTTTTTATATATTAATAGATTCGATGCTACTGGTGAGGGCAGTCGACACGTGTCCTTTTTATCTTTGTATAATTTGAAGCTCACCTCTCAAAACTACAACAAAATATGTTATCTTGACCGTTTATTGATGATTTGGATGGCGCGCACAATTTGCCATTTTCTTGTTTAAAATATATAGCAAAGATTTATAAATTATTGTAGTAATATAATCATTATACAAGAATGAAAATTATTTTCTGGTTCGATTTACATTAATTTCAATATTTTTGGTTTGACGATTCTTTGAAAATCCTATTGACATTAGATTTTAGTTCAGTGATATTACATTTTTTAATATTGTCTTATGGAGATGAAAATATATTATGAATTTGATGCTGAAATAGGATTACTTAAATTTGAATTATTGTAATACTTTTGCACGTCTATTAAGTCAAAGAGTTTCAAATATGTTGTTTCAATAATTTCTTGCCTTTTGCTTTGATTTTACTTTTATGAGTGTGTGCTTCAAATTATTCAATGTCACCTTTATTAGTCCAAACTAAACTTATAAGAATTAAATCAAGAGCTAAATGTGAGAATCCAAAAAAAAAATAGTAATATTAGCTTAC